CATCATTATCACCACCATCATCACCAACTTATAGCATCAAAGCATCAATAGTTGTAAAGGTGGGACGCTGGGCTCGGTTCCCAGCATGTGTTGTACTATTATCCTTTCATTGTTTTTCAAGGGACGCTGGACCCGTTTTCCAATAGGTGCAACTCCCCACCAATAGACTGGAGCCCCCGGTGAGTCAGGTAGGAGTGTATGCTCTTATCATCACTCCTATCTGATGTCAAGGATTGTTTGAAAAAAAAACAAGGGTAACCGGCRTTCAGGACGGGCCGAACGCCCGAACCCGAACGCTTGAACGTGCGGGACCCCTTGGGGTTGCGTTCCACCGTTTGGGTCAAACGCGGACAAAAAAAAACAATAATAATAATAATAACAATTCAAAAATATTTAAAAACAAGATATGTTGTGAAAAAAAATACAATAAATAGCATTTGCTCCAGCATTACATCCAAATTCCTTACCAAATTGGAGATAAAAATAAAAATAAAAAAAAAACTAATAAAAATAAAAATAAAAATAAAAATAAAAATAAAAATAAATTAAATTAATGAGTGAGCAAACACATTTTCGACACCGCCATCTTTGGCGATTTTTTTTTTTTTTTCTGGCATAGTCAAATGCGCTGAAAATTTACACACATACTTCACATAATACAAAATCCATTAGGAATTTTCCAAAAAATAATAGTTTTTTTTTAGGTCCTGCAATAAAGTGAAAAAAAAAAAAAGTAAGTGGGCGAGCACGTTTTGACACCGTTTTCTTTGGCGATTTTTAAGGTTTTTCTGGCTTAGCAAAATGACTTCAAAATTTATAGGCATGTACCTCACATCATAGAGAGCTAAAAAAAAACAAAACAAAACAAAAAACTTATTTTTAGGCCCCAAAATAATTTTCGCCGGGGGCCGAACACCGTCGGGTTCGAAGCCTGAATGGGGCCCCGAACGCCCGTACGTACGAAGGTCGGCCCGGGGACCCGTGGACGTATGGAGGTCGGCCCGAGGACCTCCATACGTATGGCCTGGTGACCCTATATATATATATATATATATATATATATATATATATATATATATAGTCACAAAAACTATTGACTAAGAGCATAAGCATGTGAAGTAGAAGAAAAAATAAGATGAGCCAAAAAAAAGAAAAATAAAAGGACAGACAAACCAGAATGACAGAAAACAGTGTGCTCTTATTTTTTGTTTCACTGTATTGTTATTTATTTCAGTGTTTTACAACAAAAAAAAAACGAACAAAGGATAAAATAAAAAACAAAGACACATTGAAATCATTTAGTTTCTCAGTCTTCTTAACGTCTCCTCCATCGTGCCTCTAACGTACAACGCGCGCAACGTTAATGAAGTTGAGCGTGAGCTGCCCCCATCCCCGTATGTCATAACAGCCCACTTGCACGCTATGGAAAAGAAGCAGAGTGAAGGAAGAGGTGTTAAACACAAGGAAGAGAGGAGCAAAAAAGGAAATCCAATAGGTAGAGGGAGAAAGAAAAAAAAAATGTTGACACGAACATCTTCTTTCTTGTGTAGCACGGCGAACGTATTCACGCCCCTTCACGTTCGTGCAAACATGTTCACGCGTTCGCTCGAACAACTCGCGAACATGTTCGGGCGAACATAATTTTGTTTTCGTAAAAAAAAACAAAATATTTTTTCGGTTCTTTATTTTTAACTCATGATTGGCTACGAATTTGAACATGACTCCAAGGCAAAAGTTGCTTGTATTGTTATTTTCCATGACATCTTTTTTTTCAGATTTTTCTAAGAACTTAAATATATATATATATATATATATCGTCATATATATATATATATATTTTATATTCACGTTCGAAGGGTTTTGGACGCTTGTTTGTGTTCGGGCGAACATGTTCGCGTTCGCCTCCGAATGCAAACACGGTGCTACATAGCTTCTTTCTTTTACTGCATTTTTTTTCCTTTCACAATTTTGCAGTTTTTGTGAAGAGTCTACCACGTTCGCTTTTCAACACACTTGCACTTCCTTCATTTTTCATTCTCATTTTCACCCTTCGGGTTTTTCCTTTGAGGGTGTCAGGGTACAGAGTACAAACAAAATAAAATAACACAGACTTATGTTCTTTTTTTACTGCATTCTTCACGGTTTTGTAGTTTTAGTGAAGGGTTTCCCACCTTTGCACATTCTTGGACACTCTTTTCAGCACACCCGCACATTTTGTCAGGGTGCAAGGAACGTCTAAGTAAGACCCTCACGACAGGTAGGACAACTGTCATAAGGATGCGGGCGATGGTAGCAACCCTTTCGTTGGTCTGCAGGACGAAAACCATTCAGGTAAGCAACTTCGTTAGAAGAAGAGTCAGGGCGGCTAACATTAACCTTACCTCTAAAGCATGCACGGGCATGCTGATTGCAGGCCATGACGATTGTGGGGCGTTCACCATCACAATTAAGTGCACATTCGCTATAGCGCACGTCGGCAGAGATGTGACATACTGCAACTGGATGTAGAGGATGTTCACAATCCGGATACAGGTGACATCCCTGCAAACAACGGACCCGAAAAATTATACGGTTGTAGTGATGTCGACAAAGTCGATGCTTTTCACGACCAAGTGTAACTGTGTTAGTGATCTCACAAAGAAGGAGGTCACAAGGTGTTAGTGTAGCATGTGGGGGAATGAAGACTAAAGCAGGCACAAAACACATAGAGTCCGTAATATGGATGAAGACAGACACAAAAACAGGCACAGAGACAGGTACGGTGGCAGACACAGAGATAGGCATAGAGGTAGGCATGGAAGTACGTGAGATACCCATAGGGTCAATGACCTAGAATAGTTGCAGGTGAGGGTAATTACGCATGAGATCACATATGGCAGTAATAGTTCGCACCATAACACCGCCATTCCACAATTCCCAAGAACCAGAGGCACAGTCAAGAGCGGTGTAGTGGCTAGGAGTATGTAGAATATAGGCACAAACGTGCGAATAGTGGTTCGGGTCGCCACCTGAAGGGGCATGCTGCATATCAAACCGGCGCCTTATCAAAGCAATCTCCAAAACAGAAACATTGAATCCATAACGTCGAGTGTAATTACTATCATGTGGGGTATGCAGAGTCGGGTTATCGCCATATAACTCACGTTCCTGAGCATCAAGATCGAAAGCAATGGCGAAAACATCAGAGTGAGCATATGGTCCCCGATGATAGGCTTGTAGGCAGATGTTGGTAGCAGCGAGGCCACATAGATTCGGTGGACGCCGGTCAGGCGGATTTTCGACAGAATCTCCTATAGTCCCCTTGCCAAGTTCATCCTTGGATGGTCCTTCGCCATCATCCCTCCTATTTTGTGTTTGCCGCGTTGCAAAAAGGTCTGCAGTCGAAGAGCGTCGCAGGCGTGGTAAGGATGCTTAGGGCAACAAAAAACGGGGACGGGATATTGGGGATGGTCGTGGTGGGGAGAATGAACGGGTTCTTCGTCCAAAAAGAGAGATGGAGGAAAGTGGAGTAAGCTGAGGTTGGGAAGTAGGTCAAAGCCGGCGTCAAGGACGACGAAGTAAACTTTTTGCAGGGGCAGAACATGATCACGGAGTCTGTGTGGACGGAGTGGTTTGTGGATTAGGAAGAGGGGTGACGGATGAAGACAAAACCAAGGGAGATAGGAATGGTGAAGACAGGGGTGGTAGAGTAGTCGGAAGGTGGGTAACAGACGGAGATAAAACCAAGGGAAATAAAGGCGGTGAAGACGGGGGGGATGAAGTCAGGGGTGGTGAAGTCAGGGGTGGTGAAGTGGCTGAAGCAGAGGCAAAGGGCGCAGTAGTAGGTAAGACCCAAACAGGGGACTCCGCTGGTGGTAATGTAGGCATGGCCACAGATGCCATGGAGGAACACACCGAGACCAAGGGCGACAGAGCTGCTGCGGTGGCCACGGACGCCATGGAGGAACACACCGAGACCAAGGACGACACAGCAGGTGCGGGTCGAGTTGCTCCCGTGGAATCAATCGTAAAGCAACCAAGGCCGATGAGGAAGAGGTTGCGAACCAAAAAGGACAAGGTCACAAACAACATGGAAGGGGTCTCTAAGACTGATGAGGATGCAAGTGCGATAGACGAAGGTAATGAAGAAGAGGTTGTGATAGGCGTAGTCCGAGGACAATGTGTGGATACCTGAGAAATCGGGTGATGAATAAACCATCGAAGCATGCTGCGGAACCAGCTGGAGAGGCGGGTCAAGTGCGCAGGGTACCTGTGTTGACGTTTACGAATATAGGAAGTCCATCGTTTCGCAAGCGTTGTTGGAGAGTGCCCGCGAAAAAACATGCGGCGTGTGAACATCGCTGCTGCAGTTTTGAAATCATACCAGTTGTTGCAGACAATGTCATACTCAAAGTTGGCCTGTAAAGAGCGAAGAAAAGAAAAATGAAAGGACAGACAGGCAAAGAGACAGACAAACCAGAATGACAGAAAACACTGTATTCTAATTCTTTGTTTCACTGTATTCTTATTTCTTTCAGTGTTTTACAAAAAAAAAACACACTGAACAAAGGATAAAAATAAAAAATAAAGACACATTGGAATCATTCAGTTTCTCAGTCTTCTTAACGCCTCCTCCACCGTGCCTCTAACATAGGCTCGCCACGTTGATGAAGTTGACCGCGAGCTGCCCCCATCCCCGTATGCCATAACAGCCCACTTGCACGCTATGGGAAAAAAGCAGGGTGAAGGAAGAGGTGTTAAACACAAGGAAGAGAGGAGCAGAAAAGGAAAACCCATAGGCAGAGGGAGAAAAAATAAAAAATGTTGACACAAACATCTTCTTTCTTTTACTGCATTCTTCTTTCTTTCACAGTTTTGCAGTTTTGGTGAAGAGTCTACCACATTCGGTCATAGTCTTTTTTTTTCGGAATTTTTGGATTTTTTTTTTTTTTTTTTGCTGGGACCTTACCTGGTCCTTGCACGGGCTGGTCACCCGGGACCCAGGGGGCCCAGCTGGTAGCCTAGATTACTACTATTTGTTCCCTGCGATGACAATGCAAATTGTTAAAATGACACCTCACCTCATTTCACCCAGCCTATGTGGCTGAATGCTGCTGGTAAACAGGTCAGGAGTTCAAATCATGCTGGAATCAGCTGAATACAATATGTTTGGGGCTACCCCCTTCCCAACGACAACAACAACATCGAAAAAARAAAAAARAAAAAAAGACACCTCATCTACATACCCGCCAATGCTCACTGTGATAACACCACTCCCCAAGTCTGGTGAACTGTTTTGCTAATTAAAAAAAAACACACAAAAAAACTCAGGACGCTCTGTTCCACACCAGCTCACCCAGCAATCACATTATCCAGGATGGCAATGTGTGATATAAAACAAAAGAAAAAGAAAAAGAAAAAGAAAAGGGAAAGGAAAAAGAAAAGGAAAAAGACATCAACAATGAGTAGGCTGGGCTGCTGCACACAGCATTACTGCTTTTTTCACTGCCACAGCTCACAGGCCACAATCAATCTCAAATTCTCAATCTCTGAACAACAAGACGTCAGCATCGCCAGCCACGAAACATCGACTCGACTACAGACATCAAACTAGAACAAGAACCTTGTTTGGTGTTGCAGCTGGCAACAGCAAACAACAAGACCAAAGCTAAGATGCCGCCGTAATTCTTCGCTTCAGCGTCGTAATTCTTTGCTTCGACGTCGTAATTCTTCGCTTCGACGTCGTAATTCTTCGCTTCGACGCCGTAATTCTTCGCCTTGCAGCTCTCTGGAGGAGCCTCCGTGAATCTGTGATGCGACGATTTCGTCCATTAGCGTTCATCAAATGCTGACATGACGCTAACCATTTACCATCCATAGATTGCATCGGCACGCACACAATCAGCCTAAGTGATTGTACAAGACGGCGCAGCCGAACTGATTTGAACAACACGGTGCATCTCAACTTGCGTGTCGTCGGCTGGTGCGGCTGCTCACAAACGCAGGATGACCATTGGAACAGGGAGAGAAAAAGAAAAGGGCAGACACCTGCAAAGGTTATGTACATATGCTAAAGATCTCACCAGATCCATTTCGAGTCCTTCCCTCTTCCGTTGGCAGGATTGGCTCCGACTTGTAATCGAATACGGTAGGCATCCGCGTTCTCAGTACTGCCGTCGCCGTTCACGAGCGGCACATTGAGAGGGGGGGACTTGGAGATAGAACAGCACCTGGGAGCATGGGAAAACCGGCAGCATGCAAGAACCGCACCGAACAAGCACGCGTGCCTGCCTTCAGTCATTGCTGGGGATTTTTCTCATTCGACACGTCCTGCATGGGATTTTCCACTCCACAACCCCTGCAAGGGCTTAGGTTCATACCACATATGTTAACGACAGGCAGACGAGAGAACCGATGAGCCAGATAGCAGCAGCAGCACCGCCAGCAGCAGCAGCAGCAGCAGCAGCAGCAACTGGGGCCAGTTTAAGGCCCCTGTCTCTGGGGCCAGATAGCAGCAGCAGCACCGCCAGCAGCAGCAGCAGCAGCAGCAGCAGCAGCAGGAGCAGCAGCAGCAGCTGTCTCAATTCCACAATACTGCTGCAGTACACAACATCTTACATCTCTATGGTATCTTCACTTAGACAAAAAAAAAAAAAAAAAGAGCCATCTGTTAGAACAAAAAAATGAGCCACCTGTGTGGGATCTGTGGGTCTAGCAACGAACCAGAGGGTTTACTAAAAAAAGACTCAGTGAATAAAATTCAATAAATGGACGTGAGTGACTGGCTGTCGAGCGATGAACGCAGACAGAGTAACCTCTGCACACAGTGTCTTTTTGCCGTTTGCAGACTGAACATCGAGTAAGGAGCAGGGCCACAGAGGGACATGAGTAGATAGACAGCTCCTCCTGTACAAGCACACTGATGTGTTTTGCAGCTCTCTCTCTCTCGCGCGCGCGCAGGTGCAATCAACTCTGCTGCGGCACTTGGCTCGCGACTGAGGCAACTATTTGGTGGTGTGTGATGAGAGGTGTTCACTCAGTCCAATCGATGTACTGAATATTTTCTGCCGTAGAGCGGACACAGGCGGGTACTACTCTCCATCCAATTGCACTTGTCGGCGCATAGCTCCTGTCAAGACAAAACAAGGGGAATCAAACACAAAAAACAAAAGAGGGCATGCATGTGATGAGACACCTCAGGGCCTACTCACACTACCCGTGACTACCGTCTTCATCCGAAAATAACGCCCGGGCGTTGTATACAAACATACGAATAAAAGCAGTCTGCGGGCGTTATACTGAGTAAATTGGCAGCAACTTTGGTAGCACCCCCCCCCCCCCCCCCCNCGTTAACCGTTTGTGCTCAGGCTATGAACCAAAAGGGAAAAAAAAAACAGCTTGCAAAGAGTACAGAAGATGAACTACTCTTCGACTTTGATTTTTTTTTTTTTKGGGGGGGGRAGAGGGCTTTGATTATTTTAAAATAGGTAAGCCTCAAATTTCAACAAATGAAAAAAAATTGATAAAGAATGCCTCAACACCTTGTACCGCGCTCGCTACCCCGAACTTTGTTTGATTGGGTTTAGTGCCACCCAATGGCAGTGAGTATTCCCAACTTTAAGTGGGGTAAAAATGCAATTTTTATTTTTTTTGGGAGAATTGCATCTGCACCCCACTTAAGAGATGGGAATACTGGCTATACCCAGTCCCATTGCCAACTTGCCTCTATACCCGAAAAACTGTTGGTGAAAATTGTTTGCACGCCCAGAACCGTGGTGGACCCAGGTTGATACCACAAAATTACAATCATAACCAACTACCGAAACACACAAATTAATAAATTATGGACATACCCAGGCAAAATTATGGGCATACCCGGGACCTGAGGAGGAGGGACCAAATTGTTCATATACCCTGCCACTGAATGGCTGAAATTATGCTCATACCCAGCAGTCGTTGGGCGACAACGGTCCACTTGGTGGGCATGAGCATAATTTTGTGCTGTGATTCCAGGGCCAGTGAGATTGGGAACATCTACAATTTCGCACAGGGTAAAAGTTGGGTACGATACAAAGTTGAACGCCCTCCGGGGGTATAGATGCAAATTCGTGTTGAACTGGGTTTAGCAGGTATTCCCACATTTAAACTACGTTGCATAACGTACACGTACGGGGCCTTTCCGTACGAAACGTACAGGTAATATCTGTACAGGATCTGTACAGGAACCTGTACATCATCAAAAACATTCAAAAAAACTATGTGATACAACAACATAAAACAAGCAACGTTTGGCTACGCATCATCTTCAGATTCTTATTTGAAAAAAAATAAAAACTTTACCGAACACCCCCCCCCCCCCTCGTACGAGGCCCCTAGCGTATGAGTAGCGTACGAGTACAAGAGTACGAATCGGTACTCGTACGAGGGTGCGTACAAGTGGCAACGTAGTTCTTAAGTGCGGTACAAATGCAATTTTCCCTTCTTTCTTTTTTTATACTGGCCCTTCGGATGCCCTGTCTCGGACCTCCAAAATTTTAGGACCAACTCTAAAATTTTAAGTGGGGCTATATACTAGTGGTTTAAGGAGAGCGGAGGGAGCAACCCTCCTGGAAAAAAAAAAAAGTTGCCCGCCCCCAGGAAGGTCCTGCACCAGGTCCCCTAATTTGTTTTTCCGACAGAGTCATTCAAATTCACAAGATGTACTCGTGGTTCAAAGAAGGATTTGCCACGATGGTAACATGGCCTTTTTTTCTTTTATTTAAAAAAAATATAATTAACCTGAAATTATAATTTACCTTGGCCTTGTAATTTATGCCTTACACTGTTTTGCATCTAAAGGGGGTGTACTCACACTAGTCAGCATCTTAATTGTACCTGACCACATTTACAACTATACTTGGATGCATCTGGCTGCAATGCTATCCAAAAACAAGCAAAAAAATCATAACGTCAGTACGCCTATAAGTTTTCATAGGGTAAAGAAGCTTACGCTTTCTTCAACTCTAAGATGTGATGAGTCAACATTACAATTTTCAATTTTGTTAATTGAAAACACCTCAATAATATGATGACAATGCAAATTGTTAAAAAAAAAAAAAAAAAAAAAAAAAAAAAAAAAA